CTAGTGAGATTAGGTTGTCCTAACAAATTGCACAATCAGAAAGGGGTCGTTTTAGAAAGAAATGACGTAGAGGACAGTAGATCAATGACCCCACAGCACTGAATAAAGAGCAGAGAGAGCCTGGATCCAAGGTCAAATTTGTGTCAAAAAGTAAAACATTCTTTATGTGATTCAGATCTGTGATGACCTGGGCCAGACTAAATATTTTTGCACAGAATTATGTTTAAAAAAAAAAAAAATATATATATATATATATATATATATATATATATATATATATATATATATATATATATATATATATATATATATATATAAAATAAGAAAAAACTTTTTGTTTACATTGCAAAGCCATTTGGAACCACTTGCTTGGTAAACAAGTCGTATAATACAACCAGCAAAAGACAGAAAATAATACTTCACAAATTGTATCATGTAAACATTTGTGTATTATTCAGTAGTTTTACTGTAATTAACAGCCAGATATCTGGCCAGATGCAGAAAATCAGAGCACATCACACCTGTCCCCAGGTCTTAACACTGGCTCCGTTACATTCAAAATAGATTTTAAAGTATTACTACTTGTCTCTAAAGCCTTAAATGGCATACGACCTTAATCCATTACAGATATGCTGACTGAATACAAACCTTGCAGATCACTCAGATCTTTAGAATCACATAAACTAGAAGGAGTTCAGTCAAAGCAGGGGGAATCGGCCTTCAGCTACTACAGCTCCTGCTGCTGGAATCAGCTTCCAGAAATGGTCAGATGTGCTCCAACATTATTCAAATCAAGACGGAAAACACATCTGTTTAGCTGTGCCTTTACTGAATGAGCACTGTGCTATGTCCGACAGGTCGCACAATTGTGTCTTTCTTTTCAATTTCATTCTTTTATAACCTGTTTTAACACATTTAACACAACCTGTTTTTAATAATTTTTATTATTTGTTTATTTTCTTATACTTGTCTTTTTTTATTCTTGTTTATGTAAAGCACTTTGAATTGCCACTGTGTATGAAATGTGCTATATAAATAAGCTTGCCTTGCCTAATATAATTCCATGTGGGCCTAGTGATGACCTTCATTCTGTTCCAAACCTCTACCAATTTTTCTTTTATTATTATTGTGGTACACATAATGAAAAGGCTTTGAAAAGTCTCAATGGTTATTTTCTTCCATACAATGAAAGTCAGTGGGGTACAATAATGTAACTTTCCTTCAAACTTAACTTGCTTGTGCTTCTCTCTCTCTCTCTTTATAAGCATGCATGTTACCAAGTTACAGCACTAACCAACTGAACCAACCCAACCAAATGCCACGACTCTCATATCTCACATTTTGTAGTAAAGACACTGGCTGGAGATCAACTAACATAAATTATCCAATTCTGTGGTCGACCTTTGAAACCCTTTACAGCCTTTCAACCCTTTTTTCAGCTCCAGTCTGAGTTCTCAGGGATGTGAAAAGCTTTGTGCAGTTGATTTGTGCTTTCTATTGAGCATATACGTTTGCTGTTTGTTAGTGGTATATATTACAGGGTGTGTGGCAAAGCTGCAAATCAAGCAATGTTTACATTGAAAGAGTAAAACCTCTGTATGTAGCATGTCTTTCATTGTTTTCATTGCAAATCAATTTTACAGTATGTAAAAAACACAAAGAGTAAAATTACCTTAAAATATAGCACTTTCATTTAAGAGAAATGTAATCCAAAGTCGTAAAATGTGCTTTTTATATGACATATTTACTTAAACAGGATTGAAAACCAGTATTAGGGTGTTGCATTTATGGATGAAAATGTATTTGTTACCTTTTACTTGTCAGCAGGAGGCGCTGTTTAGCTTTTTGAGAAAACAAAACGTGTGCTTGGGAACTTTTCTGTTGTACACATTGTTTCCAGTTGAATCAGTGTAGCATTTGCAAAAACTAAGGTCATACAAATGTTGCTGCCAACTATTTGCCTTAGAAAATATAAGCCTATCTAGTGACTAGTCTGAGAAAGCATTGCCATCGCAATACATCCAAACAGGGTAAAACCCAAAATAGTCCTCAACAGCATGGGATGAATAGCTTCAACTGTTCTGTCTGTGAACTGGTATGAATGGAGTGCATACAGACCAGAGTCCTCATCTCAGTGAATCTGTTACTGTGTAGAAATAGTATGTAAAATAACAAGATGCTTGAATAATTTCATAAATAACAATGGAATAATTTCATTCGTTGGCCAATTTTCGTTCTTATGGCCAATTTAGTTTATTTAATTCACCTATAGCGTATGTCTTTGGATCTGTGGGGGACACCGGAACACCCGGAGGAGGAAACCCGCGCAAACACAGGGAGAATATGCAAACTCTACACAGCCATGCAAACTGACTTACCCTGGGCTCAAACCAGTGACATTCTTGCTGTGAGGCGATCATGCTACCCACTGCATCACCATGACACCCTAATGGAATAATTTCTTAAAGTATTTCATAAAATGTAAAAAACAACAGAATTTGAGTGCTGTGATTAAGAAACTATCTTATAGAAGAGTAAAATGTAGCCTAAATCAGTGCTTCTCAAAGTGGGGGTCGGGACCCTCCGAGGTGTCGCGGGGCAATGAAAAGGGGTCGCCTGGTGATTTCCTAAAATCTATTTATTTTTATTAAACCATAAGAATTAACATAATTTATCCATAACTACAGTGAAAATAAAAATAGTCGTTTATTGTTACTAAATACTATATAGTTACTATAGTAGATTATAGTTACTAGTTCTATTGGATTGCGACCCCTGGGGTAATTACATTATATTAAAGGCAGCAATAGCGTCAGATGCATTTTGATTTTATAACATCAGGTTATACTTTCTGGCACATTTTAAGCACTGACACAAATTTAATTGGTGTGTCTGCGTCATTGCATGCAAGGTTTCTGTATTTATAACCACCTCAGAGGATATTGGGGGTTGCGAGTCACTGGCATTGTTATTTTGGGGGTCGCGGGCTGAAAAGTTTGGGAACCCCTGGCCTAAATGACTAAATGACAGTTCACTCATGTACACTTGTGCCATCAAATGTACATGGACATTTTTTTTTCTGAGAACTCAAACAGTATGTCTTTGTAAGTCGATATAATGCAAACAGCTTCATCTCTTAAAGTTAACAGTAATCTAATGGTAATCCATTGTAGTTTATTTCAAGGATATTAAATAACAAACTATTGCTTCTGCAGTTGCTTATTGCAGTGCCAAACTATTGCTTATTGCAGTGCCACCAAATGTAACATGGTTAGTAACATGTAGTAACATGTAACACTTAGTAACATGGTTATGTCGAATTATATAGTTTTAGTGATTGATATTCTAAAGACTTGAGTTTTTCTTAAAACAATGTTTTCCATTAATATTCGGGATTTGGAAGGTTATACAAAATTTGCTGCATTTCAAAGTTCAAATATGCTGAATGCTAACCTGCAAATTTGTGTGATGTGAAGGCGTGCGAGCAGTGGAAGATAAATATTTGGGCTCTTAGCTGGATTAAAACCACATACTGCAAATCTGCAGGTTTAACCTGTTAAACCGCCATATAAACCAAACGATTAAGATCATAACATGTGGGGGCTCGTCCGGGATTTATTCCTATTAACTCTTGAACCATAAATGAAAATCAAACCTTAAGCCTTCATCCCAAGAGGAAGTATCATATGTTTACATTTTGAATTTGTTACAAATTATTATCTTTTTTTTTTTAATGTGTATTTGTTAAGAAAAGAGCATGACGTGTTTGTGGTTAAGTCTAGTGTGGCTGTGGCTTTCAAAGCGAGAATCAGTCAGTAAGTCAGAAATATCTACTAATTCATAGTATTTGCAAACAGAAGTACACAGATGACCCACTTCTTCCACCAAAGTGCACATTCTGTGATTTAACTTCCCATGGGCCAGATGAAGAAGTTTTATGAATGGAAGTGAAGCGATGCAAATGACAGTAAGAGCTTGTGATAATGACCACATAATGGATGTAGCATGTCCGAATTTCATCACATTAAAACTATATTAAATGTTGTTTTCTAAAGCAAACAAAATTTAAGTACAAATGTAGGACCGTACACAATTTTAGTTGCACTCTCACGAGAACTTTCTGTTTTTTGGATGGAGTATCCCATTAAGAGTTGGAAGCATTTTATAAATAAAAGGAAAAATTAAGGCAATAAAAGTTCATTGTCTTTTGTAATGGTGTTAAGGTTGTCTTTATGGTTTGGTGTTAATAGTCTGCTCACACAGAAGTGAATTTCAAACTAAGCAGCTTTCTGTTTGTCAATGCAGCAATGTTGCAGATCTGAGAGGAAACTCCTTTTTCCAGGACAAATTCCCCCAAATGTATGCATCCATAACTTTGTTTTGCACCTATGAAAACTCTTAAACAAAAAAAAAAGTCAGCTCCATTCATAATATTTCCTTTTACATGCACATATTGATTTATTTTCATTAGTAGAGAAATGCAATAAACTAATTGGATAACTGAGTCCAAAATTAAATTAGTCCATATCACTTCAAATCAGCATGTGACACACAAAATATTTTATGCTAAATAGCACAAAACTTGGTTCTTTGGCTTGTAATCATATAAGTGCTGCTGTAGCACCACTCCAAAGAACCACTAAAGAAGAACAAATACATATGATTACGAGCTAAATAACCGAGAGACACTTAGCTGTGCTAAATAGCACATCAATTACCACAAAGAACTATGCTACTGAAGAAAAAAAAATAGGTGTGTGTATTTGTAGGTTGTTGTAGGCAACTGTCAGCGTTTTCCTGTGTAAGTAATTTTGAATTAATTGCGGGTGGTTTTATAAACAGCTTCATTTAAAAGACTGCATGACAATATTTTATACAGGCTACTAAGAGAGTCAAAGAGGACCAACTGTCGCCCGACGGAACAAATGCTGCAAATAAATAAGTTTCTCCTCCCAGAGGAGCGTGCGGGGCGTCAGGAGTGTGTCGGATTCTGCAGGTAACAACGCTCCCTTTATGCGCGCGCTGGAGGCGGAGGCTGATGAGGGGTGGGGTGGACCGGAGGATCCGGTTTCGCCGGGAAAGAAACACAGAGTGGTTCACCGCTTCTCCGCTCACTCTACGCCGCATGCTGATCCAGCACACGGCGCGCTGCTCTGGAGGACTGTCTGACCACTGAAACACGCGCTGCATCTCTTCTTCTCCCGGATGATGGTAAGACATTCATCTCATTCATGGCACCAGATGCAGAGTAGAGCAGTGGTGGTCCAACTAGTCATCCTTTTAGTCATGCTTGAATACTGTTATGAGTAGTTATTGAATATAGCTGTCAGACGAGGAAGTTGTCAAAAGGGACGTATTTTAATGTTTTAAAAGTTAAATTCTTTATAAATGGCTTAAATGTTTTCCAACACCTTTTGGTGTTAAATTATTATTTTGGGGGGTTCAAATTTAAAATGTAATGTTAAATAATGTTATAGCATGTAAACAAAGTGAACATAAACAGTCATCATTCAGTTTTTTTTTTCTTTGCAAAAAATGTCAACTGAAAGGAATCAGTCACATGGTGTTTACTCATTTGACATTTGAGTGTAGTCTGCTTAATCTTTCACAGTTTTTCGGTTTCATGCATAAATCTGTGATTTATAATTGTTTTAATTTAGCTACAAAGTCCTTCTGGTTCATTTAGACAGCTTACCCCATATCGTGCAACAAAATGTTGCTCTACAGTAAGATCAGTAGTGTGTTAAATGAACTGTTTCTTTCTTCCAGGCCAATAACAGGGGAAATAACTTTTTGTAGCCAAGTGTGTGACTACAGACTTTCAAATATTACCTGCAAGCTTATATAAATAAGTCAGTTTGTATCCGCGAGCTGTAAGAAGGAAAGCTTGAACATCTGTCAAGATGCTTTCAGACATCTCAGAAAGTTATCTATGAGTTATCCACATGCTACTGTTCAAAAGTTTGAGGTTTGTAAGATTTATAATATGTTTTAGAACGCTCCACTTGTTTGTTAGAAGAAATTACTTATATATTATGAGATTTCAAAATTATTACAATATTTAGTATTTTTTAGTAATACAGTTATTGTAATTGAAAATAAAATGTATTTCTAAAAGTCAACGCTGAATTTTAGCAGCATTACTCCAGTTTTCAGTGTCACCCAAAGATTTAGTGATTAAGAAGCATGAGTGTTGAAACAGTTCAATTTTTTTTTTCTTTTTGATTAATTTGTACAGATCAATTAAATGTATCCTTTTAATAAAAATAATAATTATTTTATATTTAAAAGTAAAATAAACTCTCACTGACATCAAACCTTTGAGGTTGTGTACAGAGGAATTGATTAATAAGTACCTACGCTTAAAAAAAGATAAAATAATATTGATTTTATCACATTTCAAAGTACACAAATATTCTTCCTTACTGTTTTAACCTTTGATTATATCATTTGGTCTGAAGAAGGAAGTGCAAATTAAAACATCCTTCAAAGCTTCTCAGGAATTCCTACAGATAAACACCGTTTTACTTTTTAACAGTTGGGCTGTCTGCCAAACTGAATCTGCTTCCTCTGCGCTAACAGGATGATGGGTATTGCTCAAAGCGTAGGATGCAATGCTAGTTAAAGTAGTTATTTTATTCTTTTAATCTTTATTCTGAAAACACTGGCTGAATTCACCTGCTGGCCGTCTAGACCTCGGACTTCTTTCGGACAAGGGGAGCTTTAAATAAAAACCCAATTTGAATTTCAGCCCCCACTTCATTTTGCCTTACTGATGAGTTTGTAATGGTAATGCCTTATTAAACTTATGCTCTCTGATTATTTCATCGTTTCTTCTCTTACACTAATGCCCACTTTGTTTCATGCACAAACTGAAGCTTATTAATCTGAATAACAATTTCTTGTCCTGTTTTTGGAGCATCTGGAGTGTTCGCAGCAGTCTATAGGTGTTTGTTGTGCAGTATGCAGCACTGAAACAAATCAGTGCTAATTCCCTGACAATACATACAGGCATTTCCAGAGGCTTATCTAAATCTTCTAATCTAAATGGAGATTAAAGGTTAAAGTGTGGGATTTGGGCGATATTAGCATTATCAAAGCATACTTAAAAAGAATAGTACATAATAAGTACTATTAACACTGCATTTTAACTGGATGGTTTGAAACTACTACCTAGAAGGCTGAAATGAAGCTTTTTCACCTAATGTTTTTGTCCATGCAAGATAAATTGCCTGAATCTTGCATCCCAGCATTCATTGTGATTTACAATTCATGTATATTGTAACATAATCAAGCTGATATTATGTAGGCCGAATCAGCGATTATTCTTAAATGACAATAACTCGACTATATCTAATAATTCTTTCACAAATACGATCAAAGTGGACATTCAGATTTTGCATTCACACTGAAAACTACACTACCTGACAAAAATCTTGTTGATTCCTTTTGTTATAGCAACAAATAATAACTTGACTTCTAGTTGATCATTTGGAAAAGTGGCAGAAGGTAGATATTTCTGATGAATCGTCTGTTAAACTGCACCCCAATCATCACAAATACTCCAAAAGACCTGTTGGAACCCGCATGGACCCATAGAATTCTGTCAAGTTTGGTGATGAAAAAATCATGGTTTAGGGTTACATTCAGTATGGAGGCGTGTGAGAGATCTGCAGAGTGGATGGCCTTATTAACAGCCTGAGGTATCAAGACATTTGTGCTGCCCATTACATTGCAAACTATAGGAGAGGGCAAATTCTTCAGCAGGATAGAGCTCCTTCTCATACTTCAGCCTCCACACCAAAGTTACTGAAAGCAGCAAAGGTCTAGATGCTCCAGGGTTGGCCAGCCCAGTCACCAGACATGAACATTATTGACCATGTCTGGGGTAAAATGAAGGAGGAGAGATTGAAGATAAATAAAAAAGGGAGTTCTGGGAGTCCTGCAGGAGTCTTTGCCATTCCATATGATTTTATTAATAAGTTATTTGAGTCATCACAGAGATGTATGGATGCAGTCTTCCAAGCTCATGGGAGTCATGCACAATATTAATTCTTTTTCCACTGCACCATGACTTTATATTCTATACTGTACATTTTTTCTGTTAAGTGACAAGATTTTTGTCTAAGCAAAGTCAGACCTTAATGTCCTAATTAAATAATTAAAAATCAAGGCATGATCATATTGTATTTTGGAAAAATAAGTGTAATTTAGAGGGCTTTGCTTTTTATATAAGCCACTTCTGATACCAAATGATCAACTAGAAGTCATGTTATTATTTGCTGTTACTAAAACTTGGATAGGCGACAAAACTTTTGTCAGGTAGTGCATATATAGATCAGTTTTAGTTTTTAAACAGCTTCAGTCTTTCATCATTTCAGCCCCATGTTCTTGTTAATTCTGCTACAAAAAGTCATTTTTCCACTATGCAGTACAGTACTGTTCAGATTTTACATTTTCACAGTTTTTTCAGTTTAGTAAGCCTGACATAAACAAACATGCGTCACAATTCAACCCACAACACAGGTAATGGATGCTACCGATTGGAATGGTGTTCTTAAGCAGTGGCTAAAACATAGTGGGTTTGGTGTCTGTCATGTGTTGCAAATCCAGTGACGCTGATAGTGTCAATTCTCTCAGTCCAATCAGTAATAGTTTTGGTAATGGTATGGCTCAGTTGCATTAGGTACTTATGGTACTAATAAAAGTACCAGATATGCAGTGGGAAAGCACACAAAAAGCACCAAAAAAAGCACCCAAAAGATAGCTGTACTGAGCCGAACCACATCGTTCCATGCAGCTTTTAGGAAAAAAAAAAAAAATTCAGAATATGACTTTATTATTGAGCTTAATGTTTATCATTAAGATATAAACACTGATGTCTATGGAAGCAATCAAAATAAGTAAATACTTTTTGAAAAGTAACTTGATGCTTAAAATTACACCAGTAGCTGGTGATAAGTAAGTGGTATTTATTATTGAATAATTAGTTTGCTGTAGTTAAATGGTGGCAATTACTTTTTTTTCTGACCGTCTAGTAAGTGACCTGTTATTTTATTTAGTTATCTATTTAGAACTTTAGCTGAACCACAGACTAGAGATGTCATGTTTTGTTTGTATTTAGGTTCTTCCATGCTGTCTTTAGGTCATGCCAGGTTCACATGTTATACGTTTTTTTTTTTTTTTTGGCTTTAGTCATAAATCAGTGAAGTTTATGGTTTTATTAGAGTTAAAAAAAAATGTGTATAGTAATGGTATTACGAAATTTGATTTGTTTGGTTTATTATTGATATAGCTTGATATTATCGGCCGATTTCCTTTAGCAAGATCTGGCAACACAAATGAGTCAAAGCTCTTCTCTGTGATCTCAGTGCACATTCAGAAAAAAAATTCTGGTAAATAATAATAATTTTTAAATGATTAATTAATTTATATATCTTTTGGTTTGGTTCTCTACACACTGCATAGATTTTTTTTTCTAATGTGGTTGCCACTACCAGCTTTTTTTTTTTTTTTGGAGTAAATTTGGTTTAGAATGTAGTCATCACTTCAGTAAATTACTGAACTGTGTGTGCAAAGATCAGCATGGCACTCTGAAGGTTAAAATGTAGAGTAGGCTGGAGTCAGCTGCAGTGTTTACATTTCCAAAGGAATCTAATGGTGTTTTGGACCCAGCCTGATCTCACGAGAAAACGTAAGTATTTTACGTTTTGCCAGTTTAGTGGCTAATTCGTACGAATTCGTACGAGTTCAGTCGTACGAAATGGTACGATTTTAAAAAGGAGGCGTGGCACCTGACCCCAGCTCTAACCCCAACCGTCATTGGGGGATAAGCAAATCGTACTAAATTGTACGAATTAGATCGTACAAATTCATACGAATTAGCCACTAAATTAAAAAGTTACGAATTGCCGTGAGATTGTGTTGTTTGGACCCTATAACAGAATGTGATATAGCCAAAATTATAATTAAAAATGTCTTTGCTTTAGTTCAGAAGAAAGTCATACAGATATGGAATGACATGAGTGTGAATACATGAGTGAAAGTTAGATATTTTGTGCTTTATTTTCGTTCTTGGTGTTCAGATCTTTGAGCCACAGGACCAGTGTGTTGTGGTTCTCTTCTGGCTTCCAGAAGAAGAATCTGGGGTCCGTCTCATGTTAAAAGCAAGCTGTCACTGTAGCTCTGCCATCCTGTAGAGGAGATTGCTA